CAGATAATCTGACTCAGGAATAACTGAACGATTACAAAAGATATAGAACCTCGTCTTCTGGAAACATTTAAGGCGATATTCCCAAAGCAGAGTCTAATAATCGAGAAGCTACATTTGACAGTGAACAGACGTCAGGCGTCAGTTGTGAATTACGAGACGTTCGTCTCATTTATGTACACGAGAAGTGAGTTAAACATAGACTGGTTCAAAACGAAGCAGCTGTCAGGTATTCTGAATTTCTGAAATCCGGTGAAGAAGGCAGACACTTTCGGTTCGATAATCTTACGAAAGCATGTTCTGAAACCGTTCTGAATTTCAGAGATATAGTTGCTTAGCAACCTCAGAGGATATGGAATGCAGATTCCTTCTTTCATGCGTTCTTTGGACTAAAGAAAAATTTTTCTTCACTTTAAGTGCCATTCCTTGAAGATGTGTTCGAAGGGGGAAGTAATTTTGCACGCATTTTGTAATCTCGGCTCTAGATGGAGGTAAATGGGGCAAGCGGTACCGTAATTGATTGAGGCACTATGCTACAATCCGGAAGATTGTGGGTTCGAGTCCTGATAAGGTGGATATTTTTCAATTTACCTAATCCTTCCAGCTTTTAAACGGGTTGCATAACCCCGTTCCTCCACCGCTACTCTGCGCGGACGACATAGAAAACAGCCTCACCTATTGTTGCGTGTTGGATCGTGTTTACAGAGCTGTTGCCTGGCAACGCGTTCATCAAATTTGTTTGGAACATTAGTAGCATTATGATTGGCAACGAAAAACCACACTATTCAGAGCAGAACCATGTTAGTGCCGCCTCATATTCCACAGATCAGTCATGGCCTGTTCTGAGATTAAACGTAAAGCTTCGTGGTGCGAAAATGCGACTAACTACCTGAGCTGTGATATGGCATAAACTATTATATGTGTAGCAAGCCCTAACTCAGTGTCTTACTCCATGGCGTTAGCGTGTAAAGTTGCACTGGGCCAGGTTTTCTCACGGGTTTGCTGTGACTAGGCCTCCATATATAGGCCGAACCGAGAGACCCCACTTTGCACAAAATTGACCGTACTTCTTCTGAAGCAAAGAGTGTGGGCACTATAAGGCTGACGCTACATTTTACTCGAAGTCGTTCCATAATGGAGTTGTAAACTCTGCGAGACACTTTAGGGCACCTTTATGAAAGAAGTAATGAGAAAGGTACAGAACATTTGTACAACATAGCATAAGGAGCATCTGTTCTTCTGCTTTGTCACGTAAAAGCATATCAAACAAGAGTCACTAGACTTTTATGGCAAATTAAATTTTCTAGGGAGAAAATTAAAATTTGACGACAAATTTTATTATGTTATAAAGTTCCAGTACCGTTAGAACATTCAGTACAACTTTTTAATGCTCAATCTCAAGTTTCCCTTACAGTAGTGACAATTTGAATATATTCAGATAAGCCTGATGTGCATTTTATTTATCTGGAATTTTTAGACTCCTGTTATTCACGACTTGTATGTTCAGTTTAGCTTATATTTCTTCCTCACCGAAAGAGTAGACTTACGAGCTAACCATACTGTCTGTGTGTATCTGTGTGTTCCAGTTTTAACTTTTGATCCAGTTGACTGATCTTTACGAGATTGGGTACGACAGTTACGTGTATATCTGACATACGGACTAGTGAGGTGAGAGAGACAGTATGCAGTGGCAAAATTATCTTTAATAATATACCTTGGAAAAATGTGCAAGTTTGTAGAGTTAGATTTCTGTTGATTCAGAAAACAGAATGGTGGCTGTATGAAATATATATTTAGGTTTCGAATTGGTAACTGACGAATCGTTCGAGATAACTTGCGAAATAAATCATAAACATGCCTCTATATTCTACGCAACATGTTATATATGAGTCAACAGTTACAAACATGGAGATGGCTCGAATCTTTATGAATACGAACCATAAATTGCTGTACTTATGTAACAAAATTTTTCAAAGATAACAATAATAACAACAAGAAGTTCTGGGAAGAAATAGACGTCTAAATTTCTTTTATAAGACAAGGGCTTCGTAGAAAACGATGCCCCCAACAAATTTATTGTGTTTCTTTTTGGCCGCAGTAACGTGTTTGCAAAGCCGTTGCCTTGCAACCCCGTATAAAGGGGGTACCTATACCGACAGACAGCGTGATATCATGCATATAATTTTATTTCTTTTTCAAATTATGAAAAATAAGCTAGAAATTATAATAATTCCATACTCTTCAGGTTAATTCTTCATTTATTTATATTCTAAACTCAACAATCAGGGGCCAGTTACAGAGTCAGAATGAGTACAAAACAATAACACATTAAACACAAAGACGGACTAATAAACGAGTAAAAAATAAAAATGAAAAAAACGTCAAATCTCTTGAAATTATTTAATTTTAAACATAAGTTTCTTAAAGTTTCTATTCATATAGGAACTCCATTAGGAGCAGAAGTACGTATATGTAGCCTAAAGACTGTGATTACAGGAGCAACTGACTATAGGGAAGTTACGTATACTTGTACCAACTTTTTCTAGAACTGAAGACCAACATTTATCCCCATCGTAAATACACGTACTTATTGAAAACAAAAATTTATGTCTGTAATTGTATTTTTTGGTTGATTATCCTAATGATACAATAGGTGACAATGGGCTGAAAGTTTTCTTCATATATGTTCAAGTTTACTGGAGTCTGCAATAGTAATAGATTTCCATGCAATAGAAGCATATTCAAGTTTAGATACGACCACAATAATGATAATCTTTAATATGTATATACAGTTACAAGGAATAAAATATTGACTACTATAATTCGACCTTCCCCTTCTACGTACGAGTGCAGAACTCGAGATAGGCAAATAAGTAGATTTTGCTCTTAATTTCCTTCTGTGTAGATACAAGAAAAAGATCTGCAGGACCAGGAATCAGTGAAATACGGAACCAAGTTTTTTAATTCTGTACACTTCGAATTCTTTGCCATTCAAACAAATTAACTCCTCAAAATTCAGCGATATTCGATGCAATTTTCAGATAGAAATTTGTAGCTCATGTGAGCAAGACAAGTGTTCAGGTTTCCTTTCGAATCTTGAGCTTTGGTACGTTTTAATAATAATGTTATAGCGGACCTCAGAGAAGTAAGACGGGAGGGTTTGGATTGTATTGAACTGGCTCAGGATAGAGTTCAGTGGTTAATACATCCGTAAAAGGTAGGGAATTTCTTTATCGCCTGAAGGAATATCCACTTTTCATTGAGGATATATTTTTATGGATTTCTGCTGGAAAATGGCCACTTGAAGGAGATGAAAGGTTAATGTTGGAATAGTTTCTTGGGGTGGGTGAGACTGAGTCCACCTGACACGCCGGAAACTATTTGGCCTGTTGTACCAGCCCCGTATGATCGAGGAGTATGGAGAAGTCGGTGGAATGAGAATTGGCGGAGAAACCGAAGTAATCGGAGAAAGCTTACCCCAATACCACATTGTCCACCACAAATCCCACATGACATGACCTGGTTTCGAACCCTGGTCGACGCAGTTAGAAGTCGGCAACTAACTGCCTGAGGTATGGTGAGGTCAAAAATGGCTGCTAGAAAAATACGTATATTTTGATAAAGTAAACTGAATTAAACTTACTCAGGATCGTGTGTGATGACTACTTTTGTTATCGGGGTGATGAATTGAAGTGTTCTATTGCCAGAGTAGTTAGTTCCTCGCCAGAATACAGGTCGAATGAATTTGTTTTCATTACGCCGGCCATGTTCTAGGGCACAGTCTTTGTGTTACAGCAATATTATGAGGCAACGGATAATCTGTGAGAGAGGCCAGCTCAGCTGCTACGGTTGTTTCTACAGGAGGCTGGAAAGTTTTTCGCATAAGTGAATTTCAAACTTAGCACTTTTTTTAAGATCCAGTAAGACATTTTAACCTATAATACCTGAATACTTAACTAAAATTGCATATTACTAAGTTTGACTTAACTCTTCAGCTAACCAAAATGACTGAAAATTACTTGCGTTTAAGTTACGTTTTCTTTATTTACAGGTGGTTGTACAGATGTTTAATTAACGGTCTATGCGCAGGTGACAGCGCCACTATTCATTAACCCTTATCTACAGGAGATACGCCCTGTTTAATTTCCTATATAACATCTTTATTTCCTCTTTCACGCCTTACGGGGTTGTTACACCTGGGAGATATTAAATTGCGCTTTCCCCACGCCTTGGGTCGGAGCTGAAGCAAGTAATTTCTGCTGGAGGTTCATGCGCGCGTAATCTGCAGGCCCAGTTTAACCTTAAAAGTACTGGTGGTATGCTCTGTGTACACGCAAAAATGTTATTTCGCCAATGTAATACATCGCTCGTTACTTATTTCATGGTGTTATTTTCTTGGTTTATTTTCCGATCCTGAAGATAGAAGTGATACGTTCCCTTGGAATGTCGGTTGACTTTCAGCGGACTGCATAGCGTTATATCTCAGAACACAGAACTCTTCAGAAACTCAAAATCTACAAATAAATACAAATAACAAAAATAAATATAGTTGAAGGAAGCGAAAAGCTTTCTTATTTTATGCTTTTCATGGTTTTGCGAAAATCAGTTTGGGAACTATTATTCTAGCCGGAAGACCAATGCAACGTAGTAGACTTCGTTCTGCATGTAACATGTTTGTCAGACTTTCATCCGTAAGAACGGGCGTTCATAAAGCAGTAAGACGCATAATTGCAAAGACGAATGTAAGATTCCAGGTATTCACGGCAGTAAATATTGCGGTTATTGTCTCCTGGCTACGGCACCTTGTCCTAGCCACAGGTTGTAGGACACCATAAAAGATTAGCACTGTGCTTTTTGAGTCTGACTCCCCATTGAATGCGTGTGTTTACAAATACATTGATCACCGTGTTTATATGACGGAATCAGCCGAAAGTAGCCGAAATGGTGGCGCGCGCGGGGTTATAGGTAGCGCTGCATGCTACCAGCCTCACTCGAGTGTTTGCGCCAGTAGTTGGTGGTTAGAAATGGCGTCCGGTAAGCTGATGCTTCTGTGCGCGGTAGTGCTGGGGTGTTCAGTGATATCAATGGGGGCTCCTTACCCCGAGGCGGGAGGAGAGCCCTGTCAACCAGATAAACTCACCGTCTACAAAGTGGTGCTACAGACTTTCTGGACCCGAGATCAATTCCCGAAACATTACCCGGACTGGAGACCCCCTGCACAATGGTCTAAGCTAGTTGGTGAGTACCAGGGCCTACCTATCGCCAGATGTGGCTATATTTAGTACCGAGTAATGTAATGCTAATTGTATCATTACAGTGAGAACATGAAGTGAGGACTTGGTTCCGGTATATTTGTTAACTGTTAAGTGATAAGTTGTCTCAGTGCCATGTTTTGTTACAACTCTGCAACATTTTATGTTAAGTAGTGTCGAATGGGGCACGATAGAACGATTTTGTTGAAAGGGGAGGGAGTTGGGTGGAAGCATTCGTAGCTTGTTTTAATTTAATTTACTGTTACTCGGAAGGAAAAATTAAGGAAACATGAAATAAACCATCAAGATAGTCTGCTAAGGAACCTAATCATTGCTGTTCTCGCCCCTGTCGATAGGAAGGTAGGGCCAAGAAATACATAATTTGATATATCTGGTGTGGTTTTTCAAAATGATGTTAAACTTAGTATTAACGTTAGGCCGCGCCGTAGCTCAAGCGGTTAGTCGCTGGCTTCCCACTGCGGCGGCCCAGGTTCGATCCCGGGTCTGGCTAAGTGGGGTTTGTGGTGGACAAAGTGGCGCTAGAGCAGGTTTTCTCCGAGTACTTCGGTTTACCCTGCCAATCTTGATTTCACCAATTGCTCCACAATCACCCTCACCTATCATCTGTGGCTGGTACAATAGGCCAGAAGTGGCCGCAGTACAAGGGATTTAGTCCCACACCACTAGCAATAAAAAATAGTATTAGTATTTCGTATTATAGCCTCAAACTGTGCCAAAGGGGGGACTGTGCTACAAGCCTTAAGGTCGCGGGTTCAAGTCCCTATTAGGTCATTGGATTTTTTTTTTCAATTTACCTAATCCTTCCAGCCGCACTATGACCCTGGGGGTCGACTAACAGATATGAGTACCAGGAATGTTCTTGGAATCTTCCTTGGGGGTAAAGGGAGGCCGGCGCGTGGGGCTGACAACCTTGCCGCCATCTATGAGCCGATTGTCTAGAAAATGTGGGAACCTTAACATCTCAAAACCCTATGGGCCTCCACGGCCTGATACAGGGATAGCTTTACTTACTTTTTTTTAGTAATAGTAAAATGCAAATCTGGTACAGTGAAAATATTTAATTTCGTACATGTCCTTTTCGAATAACCTATGAAATATTATTACACAGTATTATTAAATATGAGCTTAATTATGGATATCATAGGAGGCCAAATTTTTAATCTGAAATTAATATTATTTTTCGTTAACAGAAATTCGGTTAGTATGCTGCCCTAAGAAGCATAAATATTTTACCGTTTGACGTTAATGGAACTGATTAGACCACAGAAATTTTCATGTAATCCGGCTAGGTATATTATTTTCTCCTTCAGAGGATAAAATATAGATTCTATTAGCAAGCCTTCAAATTCATGTCAGCTTAATTCAGCCCATAACCTTTTACAAATCTTCCCAAAAATCACATTTTTCCCTTTTCTTAATTATAATTATTTCTTTACTGGAGTTTATCATTTGTTTGTGCACCATATAGAATACGCGTTTCGGGATTTCTAGAACGTCTCCAGATATTCCTGACTTGGGCGCCGATCTCAGGTGTGTAAGATGCTCTAACTTCAAGAAACGTGACCAAAATTCTGATGTCATGCCAGTCTCTTCCTTCCCGTTGATTCAGTTCACTTTCGTACAAACTGATGTTCGTTCTTTTGCTGTGGAAGCATTCATCACACAGGAAAGATGAGTAGAAAATATGTGCCCAGTACATTTCACGTACTCAGTAAAGGCAAATACTACACGTATTTGCTAGCAAGGCAAGTGGATATTCTAACATGTTACTTCGCCACCAGAAAATCTGTTAATCATGTTTACAGTTTGCTGCCGTACACGTTTAGACAAATTGATGTTTTGTGTTTGTTAAGAATCATAATTCTAAGATTTGAGGCTTTCACGGCGGTGACTATGAAGAAAGCAGTCTTCTGGGGTTTGGCACCGTGTATATGTGGTGTTAACCGACGTTTCGGAGGAACGTATCGCCTCCATCTTCAGGGTAGAAGAAAAAATATAAGAAATCTGCACAGTCTGCTTTTACCGGTTCTCACGGTCTCTTCGCTTGCAGATTTCTTATATTTTTTCTTCTACCCTGAAGATGGAGGCGATACGTTCCTCCGAAACGTCGGTTAACACCACATATACACGGTGCCAAATCCCAGAAGACTGCTTTCTTCATCATAATTTTACTTTCCCCGTTTACGCTACGTGCTTTATAAAACGGAGAAAGGTCCTACATGAGAAGCTTACAGTCATTCATTTGATCAAAATATTTGCCACCGTTTACGAAATCCCGAAAGTTCATTTGCCGTATTCATAAGGGCCCTTTACTGGCCCTTGTCTAAGCTAAATAAATTTAGTCAGCACACTCACACCCTATTAAAATCAATTTTCATACTATTCTTCCTTCGACTCCTAGATCCAACAAGTGATCTTTCGTCTTAAATTTTTTTTTTAATTCGCTTGGTGGAGGGTGGAGTCCAACTGGGTCCACTCGGCACGGCGGCCACTGTTCGGCCTATTGTGTCCTGCCCCGGGTGATTATGATGATGGAGAATTTGGTGGAATGTACTAGCAGGGGATCTTTCTTCTTACTTTCAAGTTTTGGAATTAAAATTTTGTTTACTGTGGCGTCCCTTTCATTCATGCTGCATGCCCCGCCAAGTCTCATTTTCTCCACCACCCTAATTATATTTGTTAAATAATACACAAAGAAGTGTTGTGCTGACATTAATATGAAGACTGACAAATTTGTCACTAGGCAAGAGAAGGAAGCGCGTCTTCTTCTTCTACGGCATTCATGTTCCGGTTTTTCATTAATTCTGAAACAGTGAATCTCGGCACTTGATTGGAGTGCCGGACGTGTGAACGCGCAGTCTTGCCGCCGTAACTTCTCAAGTAGAGCGTCTTCCGCACTTTGCGTGCGTGTTCTTTACACATTTAAAGTTGCTTTGAATTGCTAAGACTCATACCATCACATAATAGGATGATCTATAAATGAAAAATTGAACAGGATTTGAAAGGAAGCGGTCTTGGCCTAACTTAACGTACTATCTCGACATTTGCCTGGAGGGACTGAGAAAAGCCGTGATAATCCTTATTCCGGATAATCCATATGAGGGCCGATATCTTAACCCGGAACCTCCCGAATATAAAGTTCGAGTTCTAAGTACTCGACCGCCATTTTTGATAGTGCCGCTGGGTTGTCGTTATTGTTGTTATTATTATTATTATTTCACTTATTTTGCTACACTGTGTGAACGTCAAAGTCTGTGCATCGGAAAAGGGAAATTACAGCGCTAAAATAGTTTAACAGAAATCGAGATGGAGGTTGGGGTCACGCGGTTGATGTACCATGCTACAGGTCGGAAGGCCGCAGGTTCGATTCCTTATGAGGTGGATTTTTTCAGTTTACGTAATACTTCCAGCCGCATTATTGTCCTGGGGTCGACTTAGCCTCTAGCAGAAATCAGTACCAAGAATCTTCCTGGAAGGTAAAGAGCGGCAGGCGCGTAAGGCTGACAACCTTACCGCCATCTGTGAGCCGATTGTCTAGAAAATATGGGAGCCTCGACGTCTCACTACCCTATGGGCCTTCACGGCCAGTTGCAGGGATAGCTTTAACTTTTACCGTATGGACGTGGAGGTTAATGGTAGTGGTCTTCTGGAAATTAAAATTTAGGGATGGGCCTGCGTAGTGGCTGTCGCGACCGACATTCAAACCTGGTCCTTACGTTACCAATACTGAGTAGGCGTGAAAATGAGCGTTGATGTTTGAAGTAGTTACTAGTCCATTGTGTTCCTGACGGGTATGGATTGCTGATTGCAACGCAGAGTGGCAGAAACTGACGCGAAGAGCTCCGCGCGTCCAGTTCGTTCTGTATAACGACGGGTTTCATGTGCAAATCACGGCGCCATTCTGCCACCGTCCCTGGCAGATTTGCTGAGGAGTCCGGCACAAATTTCGTGAATAATATATATTGCCGGTGAGGTAAACTGTTATTGTTTTTGTATTTAAGAACCACAATACGACGGTATGTTAGTAAACTGAGATATCTCCATGCATTCTTACCCTCGTTCTGATTTGAGGTAAGTTGTCAGCAGCATGTTCCGCCCCATCATTCCCGAGTAAAGACGTTAGGTTGGGGGAAGCATCGAGATACCGCTGAGCCAGTAGAGGCCGAACTCGCTGGCTGAGTCGGGACTGATAGCACGCACGCACCAGTTCCGGTAGAGTATAGAGACTGGTAGAATATCACAGGGGGACGCACACTGGACAAATATCTGGTCTAAGTGCATGGGGAAACCCACCCTCTCCAATAACGACAACAACAAAGACGTTAGATGTAAATATTGCCACGTGACAGTGTGATTGGTGACGAGGTTTCGATTGGTAACTAGAGTTATTTGACACACTCGTAACTACAAATAACTACAACAGTCTCACTGAGCTACACACTTCCAAGATCACTGTAATTACAGTACACATAAAGTATTCTCAGTCTTCATTAGGCGCTGCTTGGTAACGGCTTCCAACGGCGGACGTTCCCCTTCCTCTGGGTTCCCGAGCTGTTCCCGGTCTCAGCTATCTACTTTGTCTACTTTGTCAGTATAGACTTTGCACAGCAGATTATGCCTATCTTACGTATCTTATGCTACAACGGCAGCTGAGTCACTTGAACGGTCGTAAGTTTGACGACTGCCAAGTTTAAGCTTCTTATATTTTCTATGCCTGGCTTCGCCTTTCCTATGCTGCGAACATGTTCATTCCTATGATTTCCTATGAAAGAACGTGTCCACAGATCTGTTTCATAGCAACGGCTGTTTACACATCTATTACTTGGCAATGGCTCTGTATATAACAATATTACGCCACGAAGACATAAGGGCGAGTGGAGGTCCATCGTCAACCTTTCGTCAACTAACCGAGGTTAGTTGTGATCTAATGCAAAGGTAATTTAACCCCCAATAAAGAACCCACGA